TCGTGAGGGTCGTTAACGATGAGACTATTGTGTCGAAATTCAACCAATAGGTTGGTGAAACCAATGTAAGCGTTTATGATATAACACAACTAATCTGATTTTTTTTTTTTATATATCCATTTTAACACTTACTCATATTTTATTGTTCGATAATTGTAATATTTTTTATAGGTATCTGATTTTATGACATGTCTTCTGAGGGAACAAGATGACAGTCGAGAGGTAATTTGTTAATAAACTATTATATACTTTAACGTTTTTTCCATATTATATATAAAATATGTGTAACATTTTTTTTTTCATTTAGGATGATGCGGATGAAGTGTCGACTCCATTGAAGATCGCTGCTAAAAAAGAGTCTGTTTGTGACACTTCTGCAGCCAAAAAGAATCTTTGGGAGGAACTGAGCAATTCGGAGGATGTTGTTCTTGCACTTGATGCCCAATCGGTTTCTAAGGATAAGGGGAAGTCGAAGATTGAAGGATAAAAATCTTTGGAGATTGTGGCTTTGAGTTTTATCATAATACTTAATTATTTTTAAGTTTTTTAGATTGTTATTGCTATTTGCACACCATTGTTGGTGTAGATTTTATTGTTTCTAAGTTTATTCGGACACCATTATTGGTTTAGTATTTATGATTTTGATGCACGAATAATTTTTAATAAATAAATATGATTGCTTTAGCATATAGCGGTTAGCATTTTTATGTATGTTTCTCATTTTTTTTTTAACTTCAATTTGCTGAAAAGATAGAATAATAATTAAACAAACCACTCACATATTAATCGGATAATTAATTAATTAATATATTGTTACCAGAAAAATTGAACATTCACTTATAAGTGAGAATACCTGAGAAAATTCAATAAAAAGTATATTATTTCATCATTCAAAATACATTTATATAGTGTCAATAATAACAAAAAGATATATAATGTGATAGATCTAATAATAACTCTAATAATTATTTTTTTCCATTACCGAGTTAATTATATTCCATTTCCGAGGTATAAATACACCAACTTATTCCATTGTGGACAATGGTTAAAGATAAAGTTTGTTGAATAAAATAACTACCCCATTGTGGACAATGGTTAAAGATATGGTTGTTGAATTTATTAACTACACGTGGTATATAGGTATATATAATTTAAATTTAAATATTGATTTTTAATTTGGATTGTCGAAAAGATTTTTATATAGTTGTGAAAGAACTCTGAAAGAACTCCACAATCAATCGAATTTTATTTTAAAATAAGTATGCTATATTACTTTTAGTTTAGCTAAATTGCATTATTTTTTGAGAGGATATTAGAGAATATTTTGTGAATAAAATTGCATTATTATCTCATTCCATAAATTTTGTGAATCGCGTTGTAAAGAATTCCGATTTTTATGATACGCTTCGCGTATTAAACATGTGTGAAATGGAAAAAATCAAGTTACAATTTAGATAAGATTCTTTGGAGTTTTAACCATATCTTAATATTCTAAATCCATATTAGATTTTAAAAAATAGTGGATATTCATTGACCGCGATTGTTCCTATATACTCTGATCTCTATTAAAAGATTTTGTGCCACAACTATCCTATATTCTCTCTAATATACAAGCGGACTCTTAGAATACATTTCACTTCTGTATCCACGCATCACCTCTACAAAAGCATTTGAAGAACTCTTAAAGTACAAGAATATACAAGTTTCAATGGACTCTGATGCATCAATACCACACAGTTCAACCAATAATCAATCCAAAAAACGCAGCAATAACTTGAAGGAGACAGGCAGAACCCAAGGTAATTTATTTATCATATTTATATATGTACTGGCTATATTATACTTATCCAACTCGAATGTAGTATTTATGTTTTTTTGAAGTATCAATGAATTTATGTAATACATTTTAATTTAATATATGAATAGGAGTGGCTTCAATTGATAGAGTTGCAGTCAGAAAAAAAACAAGTACAAGTTCAGCAGATAAAGAAGCAGATAAAGAATTCAAACAACGGATTAATAATGCCATCATTCATGCTTCAGTTGGTAATTTACCTTTACTAACACATTTTTGAGATTTTTATAAAAGTTGTTGCTGTTATTTGTTTTCAATGGGCACATATATTTCATTTACACTTATATTTAGGTTTCTATTTTATTAATTTTTACTATAACCATATAATCATAAAGTGCTACTTAATATATCCACAATCGCCGTATGAAATATCCTAGAGTCTTTGATGAAATCGGATACAATCACTTCAACACACAAAGGATTCAACAGAAGGAGCAAAAAACCCACTGAAGTAACTATATTGCAAGGTAAATATTTAAATATTGGTTGTATTCATTGCTTAACTAGCCATTTGTTAGTTATTACCGTGATATATATATGCAACTATAATTTTGAATAACATACCTGTTTGCAGTTCATATTGCCATAACCCAGTTTATGTAATTGTTGATGTTGATGATTTTGTTTCATCATTCTCCGTATTTGGTACATGCAGTTCATACAGAAGGACAAACATAAATAAATATTTTGTACATAAAATTATTACTATTCACTTATTAATTGCTTATCTACTATATTTATATTTTATTATATCATGAATTATTTATGAATCTGAATTCAATACCTGTGTGTTCATGCTTCAGTCTTCATTCTTTTTTTTTTGTTCAATCTTTCTCGGCCTTTTCGACATCCATTTTGTATATACAAATAAAATTAACAATGTTAGTACAAAGAACAAATTACTAATAGTAAGAATAAATTTTAAAAAACAAATGTAGATATATTATTATTGAAATTTATGGTCGAATCGAATAACTACATTCGGAATTTCGAACCTTGGTGTAGTCGTCAATCGTTGTTCTTGATCATCATGCATTATTTCAATTTGACGAATGCTGCATCCGGAGATTAAATACGTCATCCAATTTCTCCGACCATTATATCTTCAAGGCAGACCATGTGCTCGAAAGAATATACAAAAACAATAAACACGTATTAGAACAACGAAATTAGAACAAAAATTGATTGAGAGACGAAAACATATAAAGTGGGATTTTAAAATTAGAAAAAAAAATATGAGGGTACATATCTGAAAATGAGCAGATACAAATACATATAGAGTATTGTACAAGTCAAATTAATGGTCGATTTAACATAAAATAGTAAGAAAAAAAAAACCTTCGAATTGTTAGCGATGTGCTTCGTGCTCTTCAGATCTGGAATCCGACGGCCGATGAAGATTCCCGATTTGGTTTAATTATACAGACCGGAACTTTGAATCCCAAATAAAATCCGAAATACAAAAACCTCTAAACTCGACATATACATATACATAAAAATCTGCAATTAAGAAATATCTAAACATACAAGAAGCTTAACTTTTCAACAGACACAGTGAAACCCGAAATAATTCAAAATTGCATGTCTGATGTATGTATATCAACCGTGAAGCCCGACAAATTAGTGACAAATAACAACAGAAGCCCGAAAAAATCAAATCTTTCGACTGATCTATGTATATGAGACATAGATCCATCGAAAATTTTCGATAAATCAGGCAAATCTATCATTATATAAAAAGAAAAACTTTTTTATAAATTTAGAAACTTTTTCTCGCCAAAATCATTAAATATATCCTAAATATAGTAATTGTTGGAAAATTGTGAATAGGCACAAAAACCAATTCTTTAATTGCATTGTTTCCTTAATTTTAGCTTGCAACAATAAATCCGATTTGGCTTTTGGTTTAAACTTTTCCACAAAAATCTCATAGCATAAATCTGCACGAGTTTAGCTCTTATTTGTTACAAAATCTTATTGCATACATCTGACGAGTTTAAAAAATCTCATCTCTTATCTATAAAGATTTAAAAAAAAAAATCAATTCATAATTACTACTAGAAATTCACTATCTGCTTTAAAAGGCTAATTTTCATCATCTCATCTCTTATCTATAAAGATTTAAAAAAAATAAAATAAAATATAAACCAATTCATAATTACTACTAAAAATCCATTATCTATTTTAAAAGGCTAATTTTCATCGGTCTAATTACTAATATTTTTACAAATAGTATAAGCTAACAATACATCCTCAATAACAACGTAAAAAATATAATAACGTGTAATCAAATTTTTTTAGATGGAAGTAATGCCATAAATTCGGTATTATCTGACATAATGCCTTTATTAAATTATACTCATATATATATACATATACATGTTGTAGTTATTTTTACCGGAGTAGAATCAAAAGATTCGAACACCGGGTCGTATCTCAAGGAAGGTCAGCCGGATTATATGTACGGATATTCTATCACACGAAAAAGCAAATAAATTCCTAAACACTCTAATTCAATGATTTTGGTTTTTAATTATCAACTACTAATTCTCGAACAACGCAAATAAACAATTATCAAAGCTTAAAACGAGTTCCTTCTACGTACGAAGGCTAGGGAATCGGGGATGATTAAACTCAAATCAAATTCAAATGCCGAGTAGAATACGTTCGGCTAAATGATTCAATTAACTTACACATCTAGAAATTATTCCTCAATAACATCTCGTAACAAGAAGAAAAATATAGACGACAAATCAACCCAATCAATTAACACGTAGGCAATACAATTACGAACAAGCCTACTCTAGTCGAGCCTAGATCGACCGACTTCTCCCCTTTCGGTTCTACAAGTCGATTAATTGGATCAGAATGGTGATCAAGCATCTAACCCTAGGTTTAAATCTACTCGAATAGATTGAACGAAATTCATAAGCACAATAAGCACACGAGTATGAGTAATCACCCCTATCCCTAGCTTAAAGATTTAGCCACTCATGCTAAGATGAACACAGAATATTGTATACAGTAAATATTCCAAACTCATAGTCAAATGAGAAGAAAACTTACGATAGATAAATAAAGAGTGTTAATCTCAAGCACAATCTGAATCCACGATCAAAATCCTTGGGTATCACTCCCAAAAATCTCAAAGATAAGCAAAGATAAAAGGAACAAGTTTTTGTCTGATGAAAAACGAGAGAAAAGTGAAAGTGCCGAATGGGCACGTGAAAGTTGTTTTGGGCTGATCCTCCGGAGCTATGGCCACTTGGTAGTAGCCCGAGAGACCGTCGAGGAAACAATAGAATTGGTGGCCTGAGAGACGGTCGAGAATCTGATCAATGAACGGCAACGGAAAGTGGTCCTTCTTTGTTACGGCGTTGAGTCGCCGGTAATCAATGCACATTCTCCACCCGGTAGTGATACGGGTGGGGACCATTTCTTTCTTTTCGTTCTCGATGATGGTGATGCCCCATTTCTTAGGCACCACATGGATCGAGCTGACCCACTCGCTGTCGGCCACTGGATAGATGAGTCCTTCGGAGTAAAGTTTCAGCACCTCCTTCTTCACAACCTCCATCATGTTCGGGTTGAGCCTCTGTTGGCTGTCCCGAACAGGCTTAGCACCCTCCTCCAGAATGATACGGTGCATGCACGTGGAAGGGCTGATGCCCTTAATGTCTCCTAGACTCCAGCCAATGGCCTTCTGGTTCCTCTTAAGTACCTCAATCAGCTCCTTCTCCTCTTCCCGGTTAAGCTCAGTAAAGATGATAACTGGCTTTTGCTTCTCATCGTCAAGGAACACATATTTGAGGTGGCGAAGAAGTTCTTTAAGCTCTAGTGTGGGTGGGTTCGGTTTGTCGGGCTCGTCTGCTACAAAGAGCTCGATGGTTGGCTCTTCTCCCTCATCAAGATCGGGTAATGACCTTTCCTCCAGGTCTCGTACGGTCATCTCTCCCACGAACGAATCTGCTACATCAACGAAGGCACACTCCTCCACAAAGTTAACTGAAGATGCAGATGTGGCTTCCCGGACTGAGATAGATACAGATTCGCCTAAGACAGTTATGTTCAAAGTCCCGTTCTTGACATCAATGAGGGTGTTGGTGGTGGCCATAAACGGTCTGCCGAGAAGGATAGTGTGATCCTTCCCGTTTTCGTGCACATCCCCCACATCCAAGACGACAAAATCTACCGGGATAATGAGCTTCCCGACACGAACAAGGACATCCTCAACTACCCCCTTGGGGTATCTGATCGAACGGTCAGCCAGCTGGAGGCACATTCGGGTTGGTCTCAAATCACCGAGACCCAACCGCTGAAAGATCGAGAACGGCATAAGGTTGATTCCCGCTCCGAGGTCAAGCATCCCCGAAGCTTCCTTTCCGTTTTCGAGGGCTATTTGAATCACGAAGCCTCCGGGATCTCGTTCTTTCTTTGGAAGGTCATGCTGCATAGCACTTGCAGCCTCGTAAACCACTACCTTATCCCCGTCTCCGAATTTCCTTTTCTTCGTCACTAAGTCCTTGAAGAACTTCACGTACGAGGGCATACTCTTGATCACGTCCAGGAGTGGCAGGTTGACGTTAACCTTCGAGAGCATGTTGTATAGGTCCCGAAATTGTTGTTCCTGCTTCTCGTCCCGGAGTCGGCTTGGGAAGGGTATGCTTGGTTTGAAGGGGTTTGGTGACTTGTGTAACATTGAGCCGTCTGTCTGCTTCTTTGGTTCAGCTTCTGTATTCTTCTTCGAGCTCTTCTCTACTCTTTTGGGCTGGTCGGTTGGTGCAAGGTCGTCAGGCTCGGGCATTTTCACGTGGTTGTCTACCTCTTTCCCGCTTCTCAAAACCGTGATTGCCTTGGCTTCCTTGGGCTGGCTAGGTAGCTTCCCTTTGTCTGAGTCTGCCTCCATGTTCCCAACTCTTGTAGCCAGCTGGCCCAACTGTGTTTCCAAGCGTTTGATAGAAGCATCAATGTTGGATGAGATCAACATGTACTATGATTGTAGGTACATTCCTTCATGTGAGGCTGTCTGGCGTTTGTTGGGTTATGAGTTGCAATACAAAAAACCTCCTGTTCAGCGGTTGAGTTTCCATTTGAAAGGAAAGCATCAAGTTTATTTTGACGATGATGATAATCTTCAATATGTTCTCGATAAACCCTCTGTAGAGGATAGCCAATTTCTTGCGTGGTTTGAGGCCAACAAAATGTATCCGGCAGCAAGGGAACTAACTTATGTTCTCCGTCAAAATTCGTTTGGAATAAAACATCCTGCGAGTGGACTCCTAGAAAAAATGAAGACCAACCATCTGTAGGTCGTCTGCGGTATGTACCTTCTGGTTGTGGAGATGATTTCTATTTGAGGTGTTTGTTAAATGTTGTTCGCGGTGCAACGTGTCATGAGGACTACATGAAGGTTGGAGAGACACAATATATTACATATCGAGATGCTTGCTATGAAAGGGGTTTGTTGGAGGATGATAGAGAGTACATAGACGGCATCGCTGAAGAAAGTCAGTGGGCATCAGCAGCCTCTCTAAGACGCATGTTTGCATCGTTGTTGGTTTCTGGTTCGTTTGGTAGACCTGAGGAGGTATGGACAAGATGTTGGCAATCTTTGTCGGATGACATTCTTTACAGACAGCGGCGACTGTTCAACAATGATGGTATTTTATTATATAAGTGATATTATGTTCTAAATATGATGTGCCTTTGATTTTGATATACAAATTTATATTATTTTCAATTGTTGTGATGCTAAATTATCTTTTTTGAAAATTTAGGTTTGTTGCTTACAGAAGAGCAAATTCAGAATCTAGCCCTTGCTGAGATTGAGTAATTATTGCGACGGCGGGGAGCAAGTCTTGGTGATTATTCTTCTATGCCCTTTCTTGATAGCGACAGTATGCAATCAAATTCAAATCGTCTGCTTTTGGATGCGTTGAACTACGATCGAAAGGCTCTTGCTGTTGAACATGCTATGCTTCTTGAAAAAATGACTGACGAGCAGAAAGGAGTCTACTCAACTACATGTCGTCTGTGGATTCTGGTGAAGGCGGTGTTTTTTTTGTATATGGATATGGTGGAACGGGAAAAACGTATTTGTGGAGAACGTTATCTGCTGGGCTGAGATCAAAAGGTGGTATAGTGCTGTGTGTCGCATCGAGTGGAATAGCATCACTTTTGTTGCCTGGTGGACGAACTGCTCATTCTCGATTTGGTATACCGTTGAATCCTCACCAGGACTCTTCCTGCAATATCAATCAGGGAAGCCCTCTCGCGGAATTGATAATACGTTCTTCTTTGATAATCTGGAATGAGGCTCCAATGATGCACAAGCATTGCTTTGAAGCTGTTCAGACATCGTTGCAAGATATTATGAGAGCAATTGATCCTTCTAACAAGGAAAAACCATTTGGAGGCAAATCAGTTGTTTTTGGTGGAGATTTCCGGCAAATTCTTCCTGTAATTTCAAAGGGTAGCCGTCAGGACATAGTGAATACTGCGATTAATGCTTCTGACATCTAGAGGAGTTGTACTGTGCTCAGGCTTACAAAAAATATGCGTCTTCAGAGCCTTCAAGATTCCGAGGAACGTGAAGAGGTTGCTCGGTTTGCTGAATGGATTGCGAGCATTGGTGATGGAACTATAGGAGGGTCAAACGATGGTTGTGCAATGATTGACATACCTGAGGATATATTGCTTCAGCTATCTGATGATCCGATTGCTCAAATTGTAGAAAGCACGTATCCAATATTTAAGCATACAACCAATGATCCCAGTTATTTGAAGGACATAGCAATATTAGCACCGACCCTTGATGTTGTTGAGTCTGTCAATGAATACATGACATCCTTGAATTTATCAGAAGGTAATACGTACTTGAGCTTCGATAGTACTTGCAAGTCGGACTCTAATAGTGATTTTCTTTCTGAAATCCATATGCCCGAGTTCTTGAATAGCATCAAATGTTCGGGAATTCCAAATCATCAGTTGCATTTGAAGATTGGAACCTCTGTCATGTTGTTGCGGAATATGGATCATTCTATGGGTTTATGTAATGGGACACGGTTGGTTGTGACAAGACTATCCGCTCATGTTCTTGAGTGTAAGATACTCTCTGGGGATCACGAAGGAGACAAGGTGTTGATTCCTAGAATGGCGATAACTCCTTCCGATGTTAGAATTCCTTTCAAGTTTCAGAGACGACAATTTTCCATTATGGTATCGTATGCCATGACTATCAACAAGAGCCAGGGACAATCGTTATCGCATGTTGGTTTATTTCTTAAGAAGCCGGTGTTCAGTCATGGGCAATTATACGTTGCTGCCTCCCGTGTCACCACTCGAAGTGGGTTGAAGATATTAGTCTGTAATGACGATGACGTGTCGCCCAATAAGACCCAAAACGTTGTGTACAATGAAGTGTTTACTAATTTATGAAGTTTTTAATTTGTTTTTCTCTATTTTACATTTGTTACATAATTACAAAGTGCATTAAATTTAATGTTAATATTTAAAAGTTTCAAAAAAAATATACCAGCCCTGCATCGCACGGGTCAGTACTATTTGGTAAAAGATAGGCATGTTTTGAGTTCATTGGTTCGGTCAAGTTGATAGTGAAATCGAGCATATTTTCACCTCTGAGCCTAAGTTATATGTATGCGAGTTATAGCAAATGTCCCAACCCTTATAGTCATGATTTTGGATGTTAAGTATCCGGCCTTAAGTGATTTCATAAGTTGAGCAAGTCCATCGGTGACCTAGGGTCCGTACGACCCATATCGGCCCTACCGGACCAAGTCAAAATCCAACCGAGGTCTCCTAGCATTTCTTGGCATTTTTATGTGTCTTATATCATATTATGTTGGTTGGAGTTGGTGGTCACCGGAGAAGTCTCTGGAAGTCCGGCAAGGTCCAGCCACGGTCACTGGCCGCGCCTATAGCGCGAGCTGTGCTTGGCCCGGGTCCAACAGAAGCTAAGTTTGCCCTTTTCAATGCCTTCAGAGGTTAAGTTAGGCCCCTGTCGTGCCCAACTAGCATGCAGAGCGCCTAGTAGCGCCGTGCCCAGTCTAGTGCGCGTGCCTCGAGCCCAGCAGCTCGTGCCGCGTCCAGAGCGAACCTGAGTCGTGTTCCCAATGTTCAGTTGGCCCCAGGACATGCCCAGCAGCACGCCCGCGTGCCCAGCCAGCCTCAGGGTCGCCCGACAGCGCCCTAGCAACCCCCAGCAGCCCCATAGCCGCGCGAGTAGTGCCTGGCCGTGTCTGTCCGCACCTAGCCGTGCCAGACCCAAGCCCAGCATGTTTGTTCGCACCCAGTAGTGCCAGACCCGAGCCCAGCGTGTCTGTCCGCACCCAGAAGTGCCAGACCCGAGTCCAGCCGTGCCCAGAAGCACGCCAGCGCCTTAGTTGGCCTTGGTAATGCCCAGTAGCACCCGAGTGGCACCAGCAATGCCCGTGCTTGTGCCAGAAGCATCTGGCCGCGCCCAGCCGCGCCCAGGGCCCAGCAGGCCCGGCGCTGGATCAATGCCGATCAGTCCGAGATAGCACCCGACAGCACGACCCGCAGTGGGCCGGCAGTCCGACCAGCCAGCGAACCGGCCGGTTCGGCTGGCGGTTCGAGTTAATTTTGGTTCGATATTTTCAGTCCGAGTCTTATTCCGAAATCTAAGTATTTTTCTGAGCCAGTTCCAGTTCAGTTGAGCATATCAGTCTTATTTCTGAACTCAGTATTATTTTAGCGAACCCCTAGAGCGTTCCTTTATATCCAGATAAGTTATCTGATAGAGTAGAGCATCCTAGCATATTATTGAGCATACGACGAGCATAATACTTAGTATATTTGTTTGCTTATATATTTATGTAGCTTGAGGAGTCAACTACCAGCACAGCAACACTTACGTATTTTCAAAGCAGATCAGGTGGGGACCCAGTCTGGGTATTACATTGAGTATAATAGTTGAGATCATGCTCAGGTATGTATATGAGTTAATCCGCTTGGGGTCAAGGCCAAGTTTGCCTTCACTAAGTTGTGGTGGTGGCTCAGTTTGCCTTAAATATACCATCAGAGTGTGCACACGGTTACCGGCCAGAGTGTTCCGGGAGTTACCGACCATAGTGTTCCGGGAGATTTCAGTTTACTTATATATACCTGTATTATGATCTCTTTATTATTATTGATGTTTACTTTAGCATGGGTTTTTATGGAGTACAAGAGGACCAGTACTCACCCCATTATGTTTTCCAGATGACAGGGTCGGCGGGCAGGCGTGAGGGCAATTCTGGTGGTTGTGGTCGTGGATTTGGCACAACTAGCCGTTCCAGGGACATTTGTTTACTATGTTTTGTATAACTAATATGACAACGCATTTCAGACTTCCGCTACGTTTATTTCAGTTTTGAACATGCATTACAGTATTTTCAGACTTTAAGGTTTTACCCGGTTTGCCAGCACGAACGGGTCCAGTCGTAGATGCTTGATTCGATAAAATATTTACTCTAATTTTCTTTAAGTCTAAACCAGTCAATAGACCTAGTTCAAAGAAAACAGATTTTAAGAAGAAAAGTTTTTACCAGCATCCCGAGTTAGTTTGCACATGATTTTTAAAAATTTATAAGCGTTTTCGAAGGTAAAATTTGCGAAAAATTGGCCCTAAGTAGCGGGGTGTTGCAGCTGGTATCAGAGCACCTTTTGTGCATCTGAATGCTTTAAAGAGACAGGAAATTTTAGAAAAACCCGACCACACCACACTCACGCCGCGCCAACTACCAGGTAAGTGCATGCTGTTAAATTTTTTAAAGTTTATATAAGCAAACTGTACTAAGTTTATGCTCAATAGGATTCAGATAATCCGAACTCTAGATGCTCAAAACCAGTAGAGAGACTCCTAGCAGTATCAGATCTATCTCTATC